GGGGTTTAGCAAGAGATCAGTTTTTTAATAATCAAACTTAAGGGATCTTACTCAAAAATGTTTTGCATTTATTCATTTAAAATATTGGAATATTGGTCGAAAATATTGGCCTTGGTATGAAATCCAGTATCGGGTACAATTGGACATTCTGCTTGTCACATAATCAAAATGCCACAAATGTATAATCAGTCTCACACAGACTGTGTACACAATATGTCAGCACCAAATCATAATACCAAGTTTCATCATTTATCCAATAAGTATACAGAACTGATGTTACAGTAAAGATAGGTAAACACAACCCTGACAATTGAAGTAATATGAAGTTTAATCAATGTTCCAGATGCAGCAAGTCCCATCTGTACTTTGTACAGTGTAAAACAGATGTCACTGAGACAGTAAGCAGACTGACTCTGCTGGGTCGAACCTACACTATCAGTGATAGCAGCCTCTGTTACGGCTTCGCCTCAGTGACTACATTGTTTTCACATCTGTTCACCGCTTCCACTTCCAGGTTCCAAAACAAATGTGGGCTTTGATACTGGATCCATCCATCTCCTGTCTGGTCACAGGCGTGGATGGAAACCAGTGCACATGTACAATGCACTTTTGTATGACAGCAAATGAGGGTAACAAAAAACTGTGAGAGCAAGTGAGAAGAAGATCAACAGTGTGGGTGCCGAGTGTGAAAGAACGCAGGTACTCTCCAGATGGATTCTACACATATACATGCATGCTAATCAGTATGATACAGTGTTGTGAAGCACTCTGGCTACTGGACCATACAAAACATATGGTGTTGGAGCATCTGAAGAGAGAGAAGCTAATATACTGTAACATAATTCTATTAAAAAATAACATAAAGTTTAATTTAAGATATTTTAGAATGCTTACGTTTCCAAAGGCAACAACAGAGGGAAATGATTTACGAGGATGAGAATGTGAGATAAGAAGATAGATATTAGAGGGAACATTTGAACAGAAATTAAAACCAGTACCACTTTAGCTTTGCTTCAGCTTTGGCCCTTGAACCTGTTCCTTTTGTTTTCCTTGATTTCTGGTAATCACATATCAGCTTAATCTACTAATGCAGACCTTACAAGCTGTCGAGGTCTTTTTTCCGTGAGCCACGCGTGTCTCCCAGCAACAGAGGAAAAAGATTGTTTGGTAGTCTTATCCATTTAGTACAGTTTAAACTTCTTTTTCAAAGTAAAATCACTGTAGGAATCTTATATTTAACAGGACGTCACTTGTGAAAGAATTTCGGGAAGTGAACTGGTTGAAGGGCAGTATCTCTCTTTCCAGAGTCGATCAATCTTCTTGAACAATGGAGACCACATTTGCTTTCTGTTTGTAATTTGGGAAACCAAAAACACATAACCATCTGTTACATCTAGCCAATGCCAGAAGGGTCAGTGTTTTCGGCTTCATTACCGAGAACATCACTGAATGATGTCTGATTGAATTTGATTTTTTAGGGCTAAGCCAAAATTGCTGTTGCTGTTCTAATGTAAATGTAATTATCTTTTGTGTGTAGCATGCCTGCAAACTTTCATTTTGTTGAAAACCTGCATAATGGTAAATACATTTCCTTGATTTGTATATCTGAACACAAAGGGGTGACGCACATATTTTTAAAATTCAAAATGACTTACAATTTATCTCCGATGTCCATGACACACCCGTAATCATGCTTAGAAATCCAAACACTCCCTATGACTCTACAAGTTTTCTCTGGTATCCATATGGGTAAATTGCAAACAGGAATTGCTAATAGCTAATTAAACATACTTTTAATTTACTTTTAATATTGCCAATTTGTCAAAATGTGAATACATACATTTTGTCTGAGGGGATGACCAGAGTGCTTCGACTTTGAAAACCCCCATTGTGGCAGATAATAATTCATTAGCACATATAAAAATATAAATATATTAAGCAGAGAACAATATCATTTGTTACTGAAAATAATTTAATTCTTTTAATCATTTCAGGTGGCTGGAACTCAATAAAAGCTTGAGTAATGTGGGGAGCACTTCTAATGTTCCTTCACTAATGTGGGTCAGCCCAGCAGGTTTGCTTTCAAAATTCCAACACAATGTTCGCATTACTATCCACAGGGTTAGCCAAGGCATTAAATATATAAGCTGAGGATTTCTCTGCTGCAATATTATAAAGTGCCCTGGCTTGAAATGCTTGAACTAAAGTGAGAGGCTGATGCTAGATTAACATTTTAGCAATGGCACAATGGTTGCTGCTGACCGAGCATGTGTAGGTATACATAGAGTAAATTGAGTGTGTGCACATGTTTCCACACCCAATTGTGTGTGCATGTTTTCAGATGGCCAAAAAGTAAAGAGATCAACTTGATTCTACCTTAGACACCTAGCAGACCTTCTCTCAGCTTTATACATAACATGGTTCTTTTTGTAACACCAGAACACCAGAACACACAATCCTGAATTATAAGCCCCAGCTGGAAGACCAAAGATCACCCTTCCAGCAGTCCCCATTTCATTTCATTGGTGCACTAACTGTGGTGCTCATGACACATATGAAATATTGCTGGCCTAGTTCCTGGTCGTATGAAGATTAAATCATCGGAGGCAGACACCTTGTAGCAGCAACGAGAAAAAAATATTATTATTATTATTGCACACAGCAGACCTGACACTGTATGTCATGTTTAGTCACCAATGTAACCTGTGACACTAAGAAAAATTCAGGCATGCATACATTATGTTTTACAGGGATTCAAAAGCCATTTCTCAGTTTCCCTCTCCAGATTGTCCTTGCTGGTCAATATTCATGATGGCACTCTTGAAAAATTCTCTCCGACCTAAAATGTAGAAGAGAAAAGCATCTGCCCTTTCTTTATCCACCTTCTAGTGTTCCAATAAAAGCCACAAGACACATTTCAAACACTCAGACCATCAGCATCTCACTGAATCACATGTAAAAATATATAAGTGCCACAAGCTTGTCAAATGCCTGTGTTATTATACTCTCCTGCAGCAACACAGCACACTGTGGCTGGATGAGTGCTGGCTATCTTGCCAACACTGCGCTAAATATTCATTACAATAATGGAGGTGAGGTGTAAGCTGGAGTGCAGGATGCCACAGGTTGTATTTCTAACCACACGGGCTACAGGAATGTTGCTGCCATAAAAACACGCAAATGTCTGCATACAAAAGAGAACAGGACATTGGCTTAAAATTCAGCATTACAACTAATGGAAATTAACAGCAGCTTTGGCTTGCATGTGTGCATGCGAAGGGCTGTTTTGAAGTCTGACGATGTAAGCAAACAACTATGTGCTTACTTGGCCAAATGCAGAATATGTGTTGTGTGTGTGTTTGGGGCTGATACAGAAGCTAATGCTGGTCATGCTGTCTGCGGTTTAAAAGTGTCTGCACCCTGCACATGAGTGGAGGATGAGGGAGCCAGTATGATACAGAGACAGGCAGAGCTGACAGCATTGTTTTATGCCATTTTATACGTTTTCTCCTCATGTAATCTGGGAGAAATATAATAAAAAGGCCTCACAAAGACAGTATGGTGCCATCACCTAAGCGCCACTGGGCACAGCCCCCACGTAGCAACATGCAGTGATCAGAATCTTCTCAAGGCGGCCCTCCTTCTCTACCTGACAGTTTCTTCCCCCTAGCACCTAGCAGGAAAATGGAGACTATTTAAGAGGAGGGCAGTAAATGTCTCCTGTTGTCAGTAACACCACCAGTGTCTGAGCCGTCCCTGGCTCACAATAACTGCTCCATGCCACAAAAAGTAGAAGAAAAGACAGACATCTGAAGGAGTGTGCGAGGGATTTAGTATTGCACTCCATAAAGTTGTGGGTTGTGCAAAAGTCTAAATAAAACAAGTTCCAAAAACATTAGATCCTACACTTTCCATAATGCCACTCAATAGTGTCTTCTGTTATACCCTCCCTTCCCGATAAACACCAAAGTCTTCCAAACTCTACAATTGCAGTTTGTAACAAAGGCTTTCAGTTAAACATTTTAAATCTCAAAGCCCAAGCTGAGATAAACTTGATGACATCATCAGCGTAATTGGGTTGGGACGGAAAGCTCCTCCAAAGCTACAGAAGATATTATACAACCATTTTCACAGACTGAGTAGTACTCTCAGCGCTGAGTAAACTGATATTCGTCTTGAGTGAATGAGTCACCACAACATGAAGTGACAAAGGGACATAGGTAAATACTGTAAATGAATTTCCATGGTCTATAGTTGATCATCCCACAAGAGAGAAAGGGTTTTTAGATTAAATCGAATGGGGGTGAGTGGAGGAGACAGGAAAAGAGAGACAAAAAAGAGATGGAGGAAGAGTCCAGGATCCCCTGATATTTGAGCCGTTCTAAAAATAGCCTCACTGGAGCAGAAATATGAATTGTACTCCTCAAAGTCCTCAGAGAACAAAAGGGAGAAAGAAAAGAGAACAAAAACTGCACATATTGAATTCTACGTAATGGCGAACACCAGGGATGATGTGAGTTGGCATCAGGTGCATGTTTAAGTTACACCACTGTTTATGAACTCTGTCTCACACAGAATATGAAACCTCCTCATTTCTCAATGATTGGTAACGTTACACCTCATTTGGCACACTGGTCACTGGAGTAACTCCAGGGTTGAAAGAGTCATGGAGTCAGCGCAGAATTTGTTTTGCATATGAACTAGCGATGTCATGACTAGATTCTGTTAGATGGAAGAGGACCACTGGGCATGAGTTGTCCTGCTGTCAAGTGTGCACAGTATATCTACATCATAACGTCATAAAAACGCAGCTTTTGCATGCTGTATTGTTTTGTATTTTTTGTTCTCTTGTGATCCTTATCTCTTGTGCTCCTGGAAATACGTCCACCTCAGGATTTGTCTGAAATGTTGGTCATCCAGGCTTCCCACTGTTGCACCTGTAAGTTGCATTGTGTATGAATGCCAGCAATATGCCAGAAATATCAGAGTTATGAACTCACTGTTCCACTGAGTAGTCAAGGAGAAAGCGGCTTGTTCTGGCAATCCTTTGCAGTCCACAAATGCCACACACCACACCTGCAGGAAAAGAAACAGTAGATCGTTAATATATGTGCGATGTGGCTCTATACATCAAGTATTCTGGACTAGTTCATACAGTAAAATAGACTCTGCTGGGTTAACAATCTTAAACATATATATTTAATTATAGTTACATTTTAAAAACAACAAACAGATATTTAAGGTTATTAGGTTTCTTTCTTTAAATTTGACACAAAAAAATATTCCATTATCAAATAGGAGTCTAGTTTACAGTGATTCTGCACAAAATCCATTATATCCAGTCAATAGGGACTGCTGCTTTTAACGGCAGTGCTGAAATAAGGCTTGACTGATGTCACGCAAAGGGTGCATTATTTCTTAAAAGGAGCTGACATGTGACTTTTTTGAGGAGATGCCGCACATTCAACCCGAAGCAGCAATGAAAAGAAACAAGGCCACAAATCTCTGCAGGCAGTCAATAGGACACATCACAGATCACCACGACATAAGAAGAAACCGCCGGTCAACACCCTCCTGACCCTGCCCGGAGCAACTTGACTCTAACCAGCACCAACCACAGCAATACCGCAACAAAACAGCACTTAAAATAGAGTGGCAGTAATCCGCCAAAAACATCCACAGGGGCGTCAGAAAAGGGAGCAGATGCTGCCCCATTGTCCAATCACATTAGTGACAGTGAATCCCACTATTACGGGCAAAAGGACAGAGGGCTATCTTGAAAAAAAATGGAGGTGACACTGGCAAGATTTAGCATGGACTGAACCTGAGTCGTAGGCTTCTAGATACATTAAAATCAAGTCAAACGCTGCCCAAACGACGAGCTGCTGTCCTTCAACAGTGACACACAGAGAAAAGAGCAAAAGTTCAGGCAACGCTGATACCAGGTAATGTATATGAGCAGAGCTGGGTGGACCAAAAATGTGTCACACAGTATTTTCCATGATTCTGGTAGTTTCACTGTATTGCAGTATTTGTTTTACATGACTAGACCTTTATATAGGTTTATAGTGGCTTATTCTACTGTCAGGGCTAAACAGAGTATAAAAACATTTTAATGCCAGCATGTATACTGAATGCTTTGATTACTACTGGGGTTTTCTTGGCCCCCAGAAATGATATAATATGTGAAAGAATCACAACGCATGAAACAGCTGCAGAATGTAAACAATTTTCGATACGCAAACTGAAACATAGTATAAAAAAAAGACCCTAAAAATAAAAAAAGATAATCCAGCAACTTTAACATTACTTCCTTTAATAGTAAATATTTAAGTATTTAAAGCAATATTTCTCAAATGTTCCACTGCTTAAGTAATAAACAAACAAAATGATTGTGTGCCATGGTGTTTTGCCTTGTTAAAGAGAGTTAGTTTCGGGTTATTAATTGTTGTGTTGTTGCGTTCCCCTCGATACATGCTACAAAGCTTGCCCCTGCTGCCTGGTTCAGAGTGGTTCAGAAACCGGTTCATCCGCTATGTCTCCCAGCACTATACAGCAATGGTAAGATCATGTAGTATTTAGAATATATATTTTGAAAACCTTATAACAAAATGTTAAACTTCACGATCCTACTCAAACAAATTTGATTTTTTAAGCTTAAACTGTATATACAATTGTATATTCTACTTCTATACTCACACAGAGCAGTTCCACACTGAAAGGAGTTGGTTGGCCCCTTAAAAAAAGGCTTGTGGGGTGAGTGTTGCAGACCATATGGTATCCGCTTGAGCATATGAGCAACTTGGTTGGAAAAATAGACACTCCGTCTACCACATCCTCCAATGGCCTGTGGATACAGTGTGTGTGTGTGTTGCTGTGTGTGTGGTGGTGTGTGTGTGTGTGTGTGTGTGCGTAGTGTGTGGTCTCCATCATCTGTATTCAAGACATCCACCAAGGTGCTCTACACCTCTCAGAGCTGCCACAAGGATTTCTTGCAGAGGAGTCACCTTCCATAAAGTTAGCCTCACTTTTACACATTTTGCCATTCAACATGTGCCTGTCTATGTTACTATGCCTATATGGCTCTCCATGTCAAAACCAACATCAAAAGCATATTAGTCTCACATATTTAATCATACAGCGCACACAGCCCACACCAACTGCATTACTCAATACATTCTTGTAAATCATAAATTCAAACACCACCCCTTCAGGTGTTCTCAGGTTATACCTCCTGACTACAATCCTAAAATCACACAATATTCCACTGAGATTGCAGCTCCTCACTTCTGCTCTTCATATTTACACTAATCTATGTGTATCTGGCCCACAAGTATGCAGCATTAGACTTTTTTTGTTACATGAATGGCCTTGAAAGGATTCTGTGATTCCATAACACCAATAAATGAGCAGCGCCCTTAATACAATGGAATATTTGTTACATAAGTCAGCTGTGAGTTGCTATGATTCACCTTGTGTTTTTCCTCTCTCTCATCTTGTGGGCAAGTAACGTAGCAGAAGAGGAGGACAGGCTACGCTCACACTTATTTAGCCTCATCTCTAAAGGCGCTACTGCTAATTTAGCAGTAATGAATACATCAGTTTGAGTTTAAGAACAGCTACTACCTGCTGTGGCGATTCTCTCTTGCCTCCTATGCTAAGTATCAAGAGAAGAGGAAAAGGAATATGAGGGCCAGTGGTGACAGCAGAGGTTGAAGGTTGCTTGCTCTGAAACTATGAGGATGTCTGTAGTGTAACAAAACTCTGTAACAAAGTACAATCATGTTACAATGCTGCATGCAGAGGGAAAAACCTGTATCCCAGAACTGACCCTTGCTTCACCCCCAGCAGCAGCAAAGAATCTGCATACTGTGGTTCATCCTGACAGTTGTTTTCACTGTGGTGTTAAGTCTCTTACAAAATCCTGAGCAGCTGCAAATCTTATTGAACACAGCTCCTGATTCAGTGGTTTTTGCACAGACTCTGCATTCTTAGCAGCTACCGCTGCAGTTCCACATGAGCAGCCAAACACGGTGGCAGATGTCAATCGCGATACATTAAAGACAACAACTGGTAAGCAATTTAATGTTAATGAAGCAGGGACAAAATGCTTAGGCTGCTGATTCTTAAATGAGCTTTGCACGTCATGTCGTTCCTTAATTTGTGAAACCTGAAGACAAAACCTTTTTTTCAAGTGCCAACTGCTGTTAATGGAGCCTGCCCTGAGCTAATCCAAACTTTCAACACAGCACAATTAACCTTGTTTCCAGAGAGGGAGGAAAAACTTCCCTTGCATTTCTGACATCACATTTCCCAGAGGCAGAAACCCAAAACAGTGTTCAGTGATCTGTGTTTCTCTCTTTCAGTTAGTTAAAGAGAGATTCTGTTTCTACTAATAAGAAAACAAAAATGCATTGTTGGCTCATCAGTGGGTTTATTATACATCCTGATATTAGCTGCGTTCTCAGTTCAGACTGTGATTGTGGTCTCTTATTGGTAAGATTAGGAAAATAAAACAGTAACTTACAGAGACGTTCTTATTTAAGCATATTTACAGAAAAGTTTGCAGACCAAACTGATAAAAATGCAGTCAGTGTTGGACTCCTCTCTTCTGACTGTTGTTTTGACAGTACAATTCAGTGAAGGAAGACATGAAGTATCTGTTGTCCCTGAAGTATTCCCTTTATCTCATTTATATGTATCCAGTAACGTTTGAATGTATTTTTTTTCTTTTTAAAATTTTTGCTGAGAATCATAGAAATGTGAACATCAAGAGCATTAGTTAGGACTTGCAGAAAAACGGAGTTGTGTGGCAAGGCTATCCCCAGATCAGACGTTCGAGAGCAAGAAAAGCTTGTTATCTGTGACGATAAATATTTTTGCAGGGCTATTCATGGTATTTCTAACTGCTCTGTATTGGCTCTGTAAGGCTGGAATTATTTCTGATCCTTTGTTTATGGAAGTGCCCTTCTTCAAAACACTGCAGCTCTTTCCTAACAGACAGTGTTATTGAGCTACCACGTGAATCACGGAGAGCACAAGTAAACAAAAAGCAGCCTTCAATAAAAATTAATGATGAATGACAGGGTAAGTTGGCACGTGTACGTCCTTTAATTTAATTTTACATGACCTCTTTCAGTGACCTCCCAGTGCCACTGACAATTCACTGTGTAGATGAGAGTGATCACTTTAAAATGTTATTTATCTGTTGCATTATTCATCAGCTCCAGTTCGTCGTGCTTTCACATCTCTCTGAAAGATGCTACTGAATTTGACATCTTATTCTTCAATGAATCAATAAAGCCACATCACGATTCTGCATCTAAATCAGTGACCTTATCTTAAAATTCTGTTTGAAAACATATTTCAGCAGGTGAAACTGACAGGCCAGATGATGCTGTGGTGGTAACTGATGGCTGCAATAAACTTTAGCATCATTACGCAGATGGCATGACAGCTGATGGCTGTTTGAGCCTGTTGGCTGCCAAAAAGCCTTCTGAAAACTGAAGTCAGGGATTAGGATGGAGCTCACACACTGGAAGTTTGTGAGGGAGAAGCGAATGACTCACTCGCATTTACTCAAATTGCTGCTGCAAAGGTATCTTTGGAGAAATAACATCTAGTCGGTCCAATAGATCTGCTCAGCGGGCCAATAGCAGATAGCTATAGGGTCGCTAATAAGCGTGCAGGGTCGGCGAACTTACCCTAGTTAAAAAAAAGTTTTTGAGGGGAAATGTAGCAGGATAAGCCCTTTGAATTAAAGGCATGTGATCAAAGCTGCCCTGTTAATGTCAAAATGTGACATGAACGCAACACTGATGCAACGCTACTGAAATTTGATGTGTCAAGTGAGAGTCATAATGAACTAAGAACAACAAAGCACTAAGCCGAGTATTTTTTCAACATGATTGAACCATCCTGAGGCTAAAGTAAATGAGGGCTTAACAAGCTACTAATGCATGTTTTTTTTTTAGTGTATTAGTAGCCAATGCAGTTAGCACTCCAATGCCTATCCTATTTCTTTCTCCTTCCCAAGGAGAAACCACATCCTTTCTTTTTTTCCCCTACCCAATCTG